GTATAGATAAGAAAAAAAAAAAAAAAAAAAAGTAAATAAAATAAAGATAAAGATAAATATAAAAAAATAAAATAAAATTAATACATAAAAATTAAGGAATAAAGAAAGAATAAATAATTTACAATAAAAAAAAATATTTAAAAATAGTAAACATTCAAAAATTAAATAAGTATAAAATATAAATATCGAAATTTTCAAGAAAAAAAAAAAAATGAAATAAAATTGTAAGAATAAAGAAATGATATATCTATTATTTTTAATGCATTTTCTCAAATAAATCAATTATATTAATGCATAAAAATATAAAGAATTTTTATAATACTTCATAGAAATGAATCTAAAGGATTTACTTCATAATGAAATTATAATATTTAAAATAACTGAATTTTTGAATATTGTAGAAGTTCAAAATTTAATTATATCATTGAGAATTAATGTAAAAACAAATTTTTATTTTATGAGAGAATGCTTATCATTATTATATATACAAAATACAGGAAAAGATTTAGGTGAATATAAAAACAAAAATGATAGTAATTATGTAGATACATATGAAAGTACAAATTTAGGTATAGACGAAGTAGAAGAAGAAACAAATATTATTACATATGATGATGAAAATGATGAATATCTATTTGATAAATATAATGGAGAAAACATTATTATAGATAAAAAAAATGTTGATATTGTGAAAAATTATACAGATGATACAAATATTCTTGAAAATAATGAAAGTATTTTACTTCATTCTAATAATAATATGAAAAAAAGAACCAATTTTTATGAAATTAACAAACAAAATTATATGGCTGTTCATGAAATAAAAAGAAATTTGAATTATGATAATGAAAAAGATAAATATAAAGATTTTTATAAATATTGGTTATATCTACATTTGAGTAACGAAATAATAGACATAAAGAAGGAATTGGATACCTTTTTTAATATTAAAAAAAATATGCCTGTTAATAGAAATAATAAATTACATTTTGATATTTTTCAAATTTTTAAATTTAAAGGAAATTATTATTCCTTTTTTGATGTTCCTTGGATTTCTATTTATTTTGAATATTCTTTAAATGCAATTTGTTGTTTTTGTAATATTAAAGTGGACGTAAATTCTACATGTGTTTTTTCAGAAAATTTTGATTTATGTGTGTCAAACAAAAAGTTATTAAATTATTTTAACGAAATTAATGATGATGATTATAATAATATTAATGATAGTTATGAAAATCATTTTAATAATATTAATAACAATGAAGACTATGAATATACAGCAAAAAGAAGAAAATGTAATAATACATTATATTATGAAAAGAATGATAATGAATTTTCAATTATTCGAAAAACGCATATATTTTGTGATGATTGTGTTAAATTACTTGATTATAGATTAAATTTAAGTACTATATTTGAGGCTATAAAAAAAGATTATGATTTGTTAAAAAAACTCAACATAATAAATAAAACTTTTAAATTACCAAGGAGTCTTTTTTGTATATGTAATTATTTCTTTTTTAAAGATAAATATATTACATTCTTTAAAAAAGTTAGTAACAACTTACAAAATCATAGAAAGACATTAAAGAAGAAATTGGTAAATAATTTTATATTTTCTTTTAGTTTAAATTTTTATAAATTTGTAATTCGCCCATTACTATTATGTGATGATAAAGGAATATTTTCTCAAGAGAGTATATTTTTATTTGGATTTTACATAAAGTACAAAAATTTATTAAAATTATTTAGTAGCCCACGTATTATACATATTTATTTTTCCTTTAATGTTATATTTGAAAAAATTAAAAAATTGCAACATTTTTATAAACATAAATATTTTTCAAGATTATCGAAAGTTTTACATTTTGATGTTATAGCTATAATTGAAAAATTAAAATGTTCACAATCAAAAAAAATATATAAAGATCTTTCTAAGCATATTTATAATTATTTAAGTGAAGAAGTTTTATTAAAAACTAGTTATGATGAAATATATAAATATTTTTTTCAGTGCGTTCAAAAATATAAATTTTCATAAAATTTTCATAAAATTTTCATAATATTTTCATAAAATTTTCATAATATTTTTATAATATTTTCATAATATTTTCATAATATTTTCATAATATTTTCATAAATTTTTATTTAAATAAAAAATTAATGAATTAGTTTTTTAATAGCATTATATGCTAACATATTTCTTTTATATCATTTACTTATTTGTTTATTTTTATAATAGTTTATATAATTATATACATATATATACATATATGTAAAAATTACTATATTATATATATATATATATATATTTTAGTGTTGTTTAATATACATAATAATTTTTTAATAATATTTAATTTTCTTATTTGTAAAAATATTTTTATTAATATTATTTTTTTTTTTTTAATAAGTTTTCATTAGTATTTTTACCTTTGTTTTTTTTTTTACAAAAACATAACTTTAAAAATCTTTAAATAAAAAAGACAATATTTTTTGTATTTCAAAACATGAAGAAACTAATTAAAACTTGAAATTAAAAAAAGTCAAATTTCATTAATATGAAAATTTTTATATAAATTTATTTTTCTGTAAATTTTATAAAAAATAAATAAAATATTATAATTCTTAGTATACTTTTTTTATGTATTTTTTTTTTTTTTTTAATATATATGAAAATATTCTTCATGTATCCAACTTAAATTATATCTTTAATTTTTCCATGAAATATTTTATAATTTTTTTTTTTTTTTATTTGTTTCTTTCCATCCATCTTATTAACTTATTTTATATGTTTTTTTTATATTTCTTCTTTTTTCTTTTTTTTAAAAAAAAAATCTTAAGATAATTTATTGTGCTCAGGTATATCAAACAATTCTCCATGATAACATATTAAATAACAAGAGACAAGAAATCCTGACACCCTTAAAATAATCTTCCATTTATCTGAAAGCAAATCTTTTGGTTTTTCTCTAAACATACCAGGATAAAACATTTTGAATAAGATTTTTTTATTTAATCCTAATAATAAACAGATAAAAAAAAAAAAAAAAAAACAAAAATCCCAAAAAAAAAAAAAAAGAAAAAATTAATTAAATAAATAAAAAAAATAAAAATAAAAAATCATATATTTATATATATATATATAATATATATAAAATATTATGAAATTAGAATTTTCTTTTTAAACACTTCTATAAAAAAATGAAAAACGTAATAAATATGGAATTATATATTGAAGTGTTTTTCCTTTATTCTTTTTTAATAAAAAATCTATCAATGTTTTAAGATATAAATATATTTATTTATTTTATTTTTTTAAAAAAAATAACTGTTATAAAAATGTTTTAACTTTAATAAAAAAAAAAAAAAAAAAAATTTTTAAAATGTAGAACAATTTTTTTTTTATTTGAATTTATAATTTTGCTAGTTGAATAATTTTGGCCTCATTAAAAAAAAAATATTTCGTATTTTTTTACTTTTTTTTTTATTAATTAAATGAAAATAATTTCTATTAAAATGAATTTTAATAAAATATATAATATTTGAAGTTTAAAATATTAAAATACAAAATTTTATTTTATATTTTTAAAAAATTTTCAGATATATATATCATTTATATATTCATATTTACCAAAATTCTGAAATAGTTTGTTCCTTATTTATATTTGAGGGAGTAGCATAAAAATTAGAAAATATTTAGTAATAGTTTAATATATTTCATTATTTATTTTAATAATATTTTTATAATCTTTATATGAGTTTTTTCCCATTATTATTATTATTATTATTATTATTATTATTTTTTTTTATTTCAATGTTGATATAAAAAAGAAATTTACAAACATAAATTATCTACACATATAAAAATTCTCTTTGTATATGTACTTCTGAAACTTTATAAATATATTATAGATTTTATTTTTTTTTAATATATATTGAAATATTTTTAAGTTAAAATATTAATATTTTTAAATATATATGCATATAATATTATATTTACTTGTAGGCTCTCTTTAAAAAATTGTGTTATTATATACCATTATTTTATTTTATTCTATTTATTTATTTTATTTTTTTTTTTTTTAGATACAATTTACGTTAAAAAAATATATTTTTGAAAAATGTAAAAATTAAAAATGATTAAGTTAAATATAATACATTCTTATTGGCATTATAAAGCTTGGCAAAGAGCTACAGCGGGATATCTAAGAACATGTAATTCCTTAAATATATGTGTATTGTAATTAGAACATTAGATGGTGAAAAAATATTAAAAATGTTTATATATTTATTTTATTTCATTATTTTTTTTTTTTTTTTTAATAAAGTTATTAAAAATAATTTAGCAAATAATGAAATGATTGGCTATGTTATTAATGACAAGCATCCGAAAAGTATAAGAGTGGCTTGTGATAGGTTAAGATAATTTTAAAATAAAAAAAAAAAAAGTAAAAAAGTATCATTTTATATACAAAAATGTATATAAAAAATAGAAAGAGTTCCTTAATAATAAGAAAGAAAAATATTAAATATAAATTACATTTATATTGCAAAATTATATAAATATTACATATTCACTTATAACAAATTTGAATTGAATAAAATTTTCTTAATTTTTTTTTTTTTTTTTTTTTCTTATTAGATATATGTATGTTGTTAGATATAAAAAGACTTTTCGATATACAAAAAAAATTTGGGCACATGATGAAAAAAGTGAAGCAAAAGTTGGTGACGTTGTTAGAATCCAACCATTAGGATATAGAATTGGTCCATGGAAGAATTATATTCTTGTAAAAATTTTATATAAAGAAAATAAAAATTAAACTATTTATAATATATAAAAAAAAAAAAAAAAATAATAATTATGTAAAATAAAAATACAATTGATCTTTTATTTTTTTTAAATATTATTATTTATATTTTTTAAGCTACTTTTTATATTTAAAATTTTTTTTAATTTTTTTAAATTTTATATATACTTCAATTCTTAATAATTTCATTTTTTTTTTTGTTTACAACTTTGTTTTTCTTATTTAAAAAAAAAAAAAAAAATATACTAAAAATTTTTTTGTTTCTAATTTTTCTTTTTTTTGAAAAACAAATATGAATTTATGTAAAATTTAAAACTTTTCATAATCACTTAGATTGGTACTATCATAGTAAGGTTTTCTGTTATTTCTATTATAATTCAATGGAATACTCATATTTTTTAAAAATGAGTTTAAGTTATAATTAGATTGAGTATCTTTCATATTTTCTTTTTGCTCTTCTTCTATGTCTTTTTTAATTAATTCTCTATCCATCATTTTTTTTTTATAAGCATTAGTTATAAATACTTTTTCCTCTTTTTTAGTATCAATTTTTAGTTTTTTTTGAATTAATATTTCTTTTTCTAATGCTCTCCTCTTTGCACTATTAATTAAAGCATCCATATATTTTGATTTACTTTTATTATTATTATTATTATTATTATTATCTTTTTTCATATATATTTCATCTATACTAA